GCATTAGAGTACAAACACCTCAGATAATCAGTTGTTCGCCCTGCCTTCCCCATCTGAATTGGGATCCTCCTTTGTTGTTCACATGGAGCCTCCCTCACCTGCCCCTGCCAGCTGCAGCCCAAGCCCCCATCAGCGTGGGAAGGAACGAGGCTCCCAGGGTTTCTACTGTCTTACTAGGTCGCGTTTGGCACACGAGGGACTGGGGTATAATTGGAAAGGGTCCCATTCGTGTTCTGCCAGCTCCCTACCTTCTGGTATTGGGTCACAGCCCTGAGATAGAACCTCGACCTCACACAAGGTCAGATAATCCACTCTGCCCGGGATGACGATGGTGACGTAGCGGCCCTCCAGCCCGTTGCAGCAGATGATGCTGAGGGATCCGGGTTTGGTGTAGGTGATGGTCCCACAGCTATAGAAAAAAGCAGAAGTCAAGAAAATCAAACATGAGAATCATAGAATACTTAGGACTGGAAGGGACCTCGAGAGGTCATCGAGTCCACTCCCCTGCCCTCATGTATTCAAATCTAAAGTGCCTGATGAAATTCACCATTCAGAACTTAAGCAACTTGCTGAACCAACCTCAGAACTAGTAATGCAGAAAGACGGGTGCAGTCCTAGAAGACTAGAGAAGAGCAAACATTGTACCTGTCTTTGAAAAACAGGGAAGAAAGACGTGGCGAATTCTAAGCTAATCAGTGCAATTTTGATACCTCAGAAGACACTGGAACACATTATGGAACAGTGTGAAAGCAGCGGGAGGAGGATGAAGTGATATGCCATAGCTAATGTGGATTTGCGAAGAACAGCTCATGCCATTCCAATCTAATGTTCTTCTTTAACAGATTAACCGGCCTAATGGACAGAGGGAAGTGGTAGATGTGATAGGAATTTATTTAATAAGGCTTCGGAGAGACTCGCATGTGACTCTTTCTTCTCATAAAGAAAATAAGGGAAGATTGTCTAGATTAAATTACTATCAGGTACAAGGCCGGCCCGACTATGTAGGCGATCTAGGCAGTCACGTAAGGCAACAGTTGTCAAGTAGCACTATATTAGATGGATGTGAATTTTTTTCTCTGTTTGAAAATGTATATCAACTAGAAGATTTACCCGGTGTTGCTGGGGTTCTTAACTCAAGAGGTTTTTTTTTCTTCATTTAAATCGTTGCTCTGAGCTGGGGATGAGGGATTCAGTATTCAGGCTACCCTGGGGAGAAAGGCCAACCCTAGCTCTCTCTCACTGCTGCAGCTTGGGTCAGGAGAGAAGTGTCCATGGCTGCTGTAGCTCCAGTGGGCACAACCAGGGGAGGGGTGCATGTCCCCCAGCTGGGGGACAGAGACACAGACAAACAGGCATACAAACAGGCTATGTCTACACTGCAGGCTTCTTGTGCAAGAAGCTTTTTGTGGAAGAGATCTTCCACAAAATCTTCTTGTGCAGGAGCATGTCCACACTGCAAAAGCACATCGAAAAAGTGATGCTCTTTTGCACAAGAGAACATCCAGACTGCAGGGACGCTCTCTCGAAAGAAAGCGCTGACCGCTATCCACAGAATAGCCACCAGGGCACCTGTGCTTCTTTCAATAGGGTTTTTTTGCGCAAAAAGAGGCAGCTCTCCATCCACACATACCTTTTGTGGAAGAGCGCTTTAGCCAAACGGAGTTATGCCTCATAGAAAGAGGAATAACTCTTGAGCAAAACTCCCTCTCTTCTTTTGAATTTTTTGCGCAAAAACACGCTTGAGGTGTAGCTGCTCCACAAGTTTTTCTGCAAAAGCTCTGTAGTGTAGACATAGCCACAGAGTATATCTCGGAAATAAAGAGTAGGCACCCGTCCCTTTCTCACCTTTCTACATTACTACCATTGTTCTCTATTTTCAGGGCTTGACAAACTCGCCAGCCCAGCATCGCGCATGCGCCAGACCGGCACTGCTCATGTGCGCAGCACCGGTGAACGGGGCACATGGAGCGACCAGCTGAAATCTACTTGCCATGAGCGAGTAGAAACAGTGGTTTGTCGAGCCCTGTGTATTTTGATCATTTAGGTGAAACAGTTAATTTTTCAGAAAATTAACACCACAGCAGATAAAAAGATGCGGTCTGGAGCTCAGTGTTGGAAAAGGAAAGCGGAGCAGATAAAAGAACAAGCAATGCAAAAAAGGTTCCTTCCTCAGTTATCTTTGACTTGCCAAACACTGTGGCTACGTCTAGATGGCATCCCTTTTTTGTAAAAGAGATGCAAATTAGACGTATCGCAATTGCTAATGAAGTGGGGATTTAAATCTCCCCCCCTTCATTAGCATAAAAATGGCTGCCGCTTTTTTTTGGCACGGAGCTTTGTCAGATAAAAGCGCCAGTCTAGACGCGGATCTTTTGGAAAATAAAGCCTTTTCCGAAAGATCCCTTATCCCTTATTTTAAGAGGGAGGCAGCTCATAGCATCAAACTAACACTGAAGGTGAGCAAATGTATTCATCTCCAGACATGGGCACCAAGGTTGGGATGAAGAAAAGATAACGAGGGAGCAGGAGGGAAATAGACGTGGAAGATCATAGAATACTAGGACTGCAAGGGACCTCGAGAGGTCATCGAGTCCAGTCCCCTGCCCTCATGGCAGGACCAAATACTGTCTAGACCATCCCTGATAGACATTTATCTAACCTGCTCTTAAATATCTCCAGAGATGGGGATTCCACAACCTCCCTGGGCAATTTATTCCAGTCAGATCTCCTTCGTTCTCCACCCCATCCATACTGGTATACAAGTGTCCTTCCCTTTCCCATCCTCCTTCACTGTTCAATTTCCCCCCCACCTCGCAAACCCTCTCCCTCCCTCCCCCCATCCTCATAACAACCTGTGAGCCTGACAAATTACACTGGGCAAGTTATCCCTGACAACCAGTCCTTTCAATAAATGTAAGTTGTCCCCATATTTCCTTAGGATCACTCATGGTATCAATGGCTCCCAGGGCTATCAAGGTTGTTCCTTTTCTGCCACCCACTGCCCTTACCACTTGTTTTCAAATAAAAATTCAGCCATCTTAATTAAAGGACTATTTCTCTTAAGATATTACTTTTCATTGGTCTCTTGTATGTGTGACGTAGTGGGGGTGCTGTCTGCTCTGACTTTCGGGCTGTGTCTAGACTACATGCCTCTGTCGGCAGAGGCATGTAGATTAGACACGTAGGCAAAGTCAAATGAAACCGCGATTTAAATGATCGCGGCTTCATTTACATTTACATGGCTGCCGCGCTGAGCCGACAAACAGCTG